GTGATTCTGTTATTCTGTGATTCTGTGTAATTTCTTTCTGTGGATTTAATTTTCTTCTTTTCCTAAAGTTGTTAAATTCTTTGTTGTTTTTGAGTAATTGAGTTCTAAAGATGCTGACATTTAAAGCCTATTCTTCTTTTCAGCTTCTGTAACTAAACCCAAGTTACAGTTCTTTTCACCTGTTTTTCTTTCTGATACTCATTGGTGTTTAACTGTTACCTTTAAAGTAAGCTTCTGTGTCTGTTCTAAAACTTAATATTTAAAGACAGAAAAGAAGGTGTTTACCTTTTTTTGTTATTTGAAATGAAAGGGTATGTTTGGAAATAAAGCATAGCACTGTGGGATATTTATTCCTAGGTTGGTTTTTTTTTTATGATTACTTAAATAATTTACATTGTACTACCTGAGATTGCTATTGAATGTGTGCCACATTGGGAGTGTATCTGTAGCAGGAAAACCAGAGATCATTATTTTGTTTGATCTTTCTTTATTTTTTGCTTGTAGTCAAAGATTCCCAAAGAAAGGAAAAAGGAAAAAGAACTTGCTGCATATGGCTAAGTTTCCAGTAGGAGGGCTGGAGGTGGTTCCAGGAAGCCTAGCAGTTGCCTCCCTCTGTGATGGATGGGCCTTGGTCCCTTACATGCTAGCTACAAGTAAATTAGCAATTAGCAAATTCACAGGAATTTTCAAAAAGCATACTTCTTCATAGCCATTGAGTTTTTATTTGGTTGGATTTAATGTAACTGAAGTCTTCATTTGATTGAAAAATCTGTGTAGCTATAGGGGTTACAGTGACAAAGTATGTACCAAGGGAAGTCTCTTACAGCTCTTTAAAGCACTTCCCTATTTCCCCTTCTGTGGATGTTTTCTGTAAAAAAAACACAAGAAAGATACTGAGAAATATATTATCTTCCTAATGAAGAATTATATGCTGAATTAGTATAATAATTGTGCGAGTAATTTGATGTGGTGGCAAAGTGTCTAAAGCTATACTGGTGGTAATTGATGCAAACAAAAATGGATTTTTTTGATCTGTAGCTTTTACAAAGAAACAACAAATCTGGAGTGAAAATATTTTTCAACTGCTGCTGTCTTCAGCTTAAGTGAAACGAGCCATTCTTCCATATGCCTTTTTTTTTTTTTTTCTTTTCTGTGTAGCTGTTTTTCCCCTTCTGTTGGTTTCCTAATCTGTCTTGCTGTGTTTACACTTATGCAAATAATAATATTTTAAATGGCATATTTATATTAAGGTGCATTTTCTGAATAATGTAAATCTTTGCTCTCTGGAGCTATTAAGGACAGCGGCATTTTATCTCCCTTGTAGTGAAGACAAAAAAAAAGAAAGTAAGCACACATGCACACATTTACACACTGAAGTCACTTGGGAATATGAGAGAGAATCTTGAAGGAGTAAACATACCCATCAGTGACAGATGAACTGAATCTGTGATGCAATAGGACTAAAGAAAATTAGCTAATTGAGTAGAGTGCAACTTCAGAGGAAACTATCACAGAATGGTTTGGGTTGGAAGGGACTTAAAGATCATCGAGTTCTAACCACAGGCAGGGACACCTCCCACTAGATCAAGTTACTCAAAGCCCCATCCAGCCTGTTATTGAACACCTCCAGTGGTGAAGCATCTACAGCTTTCCTGGGCAACCTGCTCCAGTGTTTCACCACCCTCCTAGTGAAGAACTTCTTCCTAATTTCTAATCTACATCTACCCTTTTCCACATTAAAGGCATTAGCTCTCATCCTGGCACAAGACCTTGCAAAAAGTTCTTCCCCGGCTTTCCTGTCGGCCCCTTTCAGATACTGGAAGGCTACAATAAAGTTTCCCTGGAACCTTCTCTTCTCCAGGCTCAACAATGCCCACTCTCTCAGCCTGTCCTTGTAGGAGAGGTGCTCCAGCAATCTGATCATTTCTGTGGCCTTCCTCTGGACCTACTCCAACAGCAACAGGTCTGTGTTCCTCTTGCACTGGGGACTCCCGAGCTGGACACAGTACTCGGGCGAGGTCTCACCAGGGCAGAGTGGAATCACCTCAACCTGCTGGCCATACTTCTTTGATGCAGCCCAAGATTCAGCTGATACTATATCATAGCAAGGGCACAGGAGGTGGGAAGAATCTTCTTCTGTAATCTTTAGACGACTTTATATTACTACACACATGATATGCTAGCCTTGTTAAATTTTGCAGACTATTTAGAATTTATTCCTCTGAACAAATGCATCTTATTTTTATAAAAGAGACATTTAGGCTACTGGTTTACATTAAGAGATGTTAGTACTTCCATCAATTTAATATAGACTTACTTAATGTGTTTCAGAATTTAATTTTTCATAATCTGTGTCTGGAAGAGAACAGAGTAGTATCATTTGGGAAAAAATGCACTTGCTTATTCTTACTATAATCATTTAAGGGGGTATAGGACGACTTTTAAATGGGTGATATTTTGACATTAAAGGAAGAATAACACTTGTTATTTCTGTCCAACTGGAAATCTTAACATGACAGAAGTGCATGTATTTATAGTTTGAAGGCTGTCTTTGAATACAAGCGTGGAGCTGGAAATGTCAGTTATTTATTGGTTGATTAGATTCTGGAGAACGGGGAAGAAATCTGCAGAGGGCCATGTCTACAGGTCATATTTCCAGATAGATGACTTAGTTAATGCACCAATTTACTAATCTACACACTTTATTATCAGTAGTAATTAAAACTTCTCAAAGTTGGGCATAACACCACAATTAGGAAAAATGTATTGCAGGTAAAATGGTTTTTTACAGAATTTTCAAAATGGAGCAGAAACACTGGATCACGTGGGCAATGCACATTACAGGTGCTGGGATTGCAAAGGAAAGAATTAAATGATGAGGAATAGGAATGTTTTGAGGGAGCTGGGACCAGACTTAAGTTTGACAGTGAATGAGGAGGAAAGGAATCAGATTACTTTAGTATAACCAGGCATGAAAAGTAGGGTAAGAATTCATGCAGCTGGAAGATGAAAACAAAGAATTGTTCTCAAGTTGGTTCAATGAACCAAAAATCAGCTGGAGGTTCATCTACCTGAAACGAATACCCTGTGTCCAGCACAGTATGGATTCATGCCAAGAAGCAGAGCTGAGATGATTTTACAGATATAGAGGGATATATATTTTTTTTTTGTGATTTGATAAAGACTGGACCTCCGCTCTCATTCTCAATTAGACACTGCTAATTACTTTGTCTAGGAGGGGTGTCCAGCATTTACAATGCTGCAGTGAAGAAGCATTGAAACCTTTTCATGGGATACTCAGAACTTTCATGGAATAATGAAGTGTGTTTCCTTCTTGCACAGACTGCTGTGTTTTCACTGTTCCCTGCATTAACCTTCCTTAGAAGACTAACTAGATTGAATTGAAGTTTCTACCCATTAGGCTCGAGGTGTTCATTACTCTGGGTGCATAGCATCAACAGTTAAAGCTCTCGTATTAACGACTGTGACTGACAGCTCCCCTCCTCTGCCCAGTGGTACTTGCTGTAGTAATTGCAGAAGAGGGAAACGAGGCTGTCTTAGGGGCTGGTTTAAGCCAGTTGGATACCTGCTTCAGAAAATAAAACTATCCTATTCAGTGAGAAGAGTATATTTCTTCAACTTCTTTTTCTCCCAACCCCCCCACTCCTCAGGAGCAAAACTGCATAGAAAAGAAAATCTTTCCCTGTATGCTTTTCTCTTTCAAAGCTGGAAAGGATAAACATACATAATGCTGGGGACAGTGCTTATAAGCTTCTAGTAAGTGTGCTTATGTAATTATGTTGAACCCATTTCTGGCATATCTTTTGCTGACCACTTGCCCAACATAAAATGATATTGTCATTAACAAGCAGACCGGCAACCAAACCCCTCCTTCCACTGCCACATGATACACCAGAGATCCAAAGTGCTGGACAACTGGAGGGAGGAACAAGTCAATGCACTCACCCACTGCAAAGGACATGAAGAAGGGAGTGAGCTTGCCAAGGAACTGTGCTGTGGGAGATAGAATCAGCCAGACAAACAGTCCAGTTAGATAGTAGTTTCCCAGATAGAAATTCATTATCTTCTACTATCCTGGAAACTCTACTTCCTATGAAGAGTCAGAGAGCCCCTCTAATAGCCAGAATCTCTACTCAGCAAATATACTGTATAGACAGGCCTCCCAACTGCCCTGGAAGCAAAGTCAGCACTTACAGAGGTGGCTTCTTGCCCTGCCTCCCAAGTTAATGTAGCAGGTGGGGGCACCTGGTGGTGATCTCCTCATCAGTTCCCACCCAAGGCTGGCCAGGCCCTGGGTGAAAAACAATCAGGAGGGTCTTTCTTGCGTGGTTGTGGACATCATCCATATGCCCACCTTCATTCAGGGCTGGGGGTTTAATCCCAGCACTTAAGCATATTTTGAGAAAGCATCATTTGGTGACAGAAAAAGTATATAACTTCAGGAGTGTTCCATGATTTTTGTGTGAAGGAATGTTTCAGATATAGCAAGATTTTTCTTCTATACTAACTGCTTGGAATAGTTTGTTATATTTGGTAGAACAGCATTGTTGGAATACTGCTAAATATATAGTAAGTAGGAACTCATGTTAGTATGTATACCAACATATATGCATATACATTAAAAAATAAAATGTATGTATTTGTCTTGCAGGGGTTGATAAGCTGATCCGTCATTTACACAAGCACAACGTTCCCATAGCTGTTGCCACCAGCTCAGCTGAAGTGACATTTCAGATGAAAACAGCCAGACACAAAGATTTCTTTGGTCTTTTTCATCATATTGTGTTGGGAGATGACCCCGAGGTGAAGTTGGGCAAGCCACAGCCTGATGCATTTCTGGTTTGTGCAAAGAGATTTCACCCTTCTGCACCTCCAGAGAAGGTAAGAAGGGGAGGGAACAAATTAGCTGAAAAGTTAGGAATATTCTGTTTGGGCTATATATATATATATATATATATATATTTTTTTTTTTAGCATGATAAATGCTTAGATTGAGATTTAACATAAACATAAAAATCAGCAACCTCTATTTTCAAAGGTGTTTATGGTATTGAAGCAAGAAATTGTTGGAAAGCATCTCCTCCTCCCACTACATACAATGTTTGTAATGCATATTGCTCTGATTTACTACGTGGTAGTGTGCAGTAATAGGAAAGCGTAATGATTTTCTGCTCTGTTCATAAATCTGCAAGCTTAACTTCACTACTCGAAGTTTGGAAACAGTTACTTAAACATAGATCAGTTGATTTTTCATACATTCATGGCTGATTTACCTCTTAAGTGTCTAAACATTAAAGATACTTCTTTGTAAAGAGGGCATATATTTTTCATAAGTCATCTCTTTCCTCTTGCTTTCTAAATCTCTGAGATCATAATTCTTGTTTTCTGATTTAAAACCTATCACTTTGAGCAATCTTTCTCAAATAGTGGAGGTGTTTAGTTTCTCTCATATGTAGCTTTCCAAACTTCATTCTGAAAGAGAAATCTGTGGGGAGAATATCTGAAAGCTAAATTGAGAGTTAGTTAACAGAATGCCTTCACTTTTATTTGAAATTAAATTGCCCTTCTCCTTAAAATATTTTTCTCACTTCTTGTCTGTCCTGAGTGGAATGTAAGTTCTAAAGGTCTGCAATTTCATTACTGGAGAAAAATGCATGACATACTAATTTCTAAGGAAGAGCTTCAGTTGGATTAGACTGTGATTACTGTTTTCTCAGTAGGATTATTGAGGAAAAAATGGTTACACAAATACATGTGGAATGATTAGCTGAGATTTTTCAGCCTTTTTTACTTAATGTTCTCACCCAGAGTCTAAATGGTGTTTGTGTTGCCTAGGAATACAAAGTGAAGTGTTTGGTGCAATGTGGCATACAAGGAACAGTGCTAACTAAAGTGGCTTAGGGTTTTGTTTGGTTTTTTTGTGTTACGAGTTCTCTTGACATTCTTAGTATGTGGATGAACTTCATTTGTAAATTTACATATTCAGAAAAATACTGCAAGTATACACAGTCCTGTTCATGAAGATGGTGGTTGTATAGACATGTTAGGTACTTGTGTGAGTAAACCTTGTATGTATCGTATGTTCCAAATATTGAAGAATCTAAGCAGCAAATGAGTAGACTTCCCCTTAAAGTCAAGTAGTTATGAATTTTTAACATGTTAATACTCAGTTGAGACCAGATATTGGGAAGCAGCCCAAGGTTTTGGAGGAGCTGAAAAGAAGCTTAAATCACACCTTAATATTGCTTTGATATAAAATTATTCTTTCTTGCTTAACTGTATATCTAGGGAACAAAAAATCAGAATCTGCTCCTGTGATGTTTTATGGCATGGTTTTGTGAAACAGGATGAGAGGTGTGTGATGCATGCTTCTCACTTGGATGGAGGAGTGTTTTTAAGCTGTTCTGTAATTCTGAAAGTGAGGAGCATCTTAGTTTATTTGACTCTATTTCAGAATTGTCACAAAGTGGTAATAATTAAAAAGGTCAAAAATGTTTAAAAAAAAACCAAAACAGCAACAAGCACAGTGACACTGTTGTAGTTTTTTTTATTTATTCTGCAGTAAGTAGCCTTAGCTCTGTTAACAGCTAAAATATATTTGAAGATAACAGGAGCATCTGTATCACAGTTAATAATGTTAAACTTTAAAGTTATATCAGACAAGCAAAATTTCAGGGTGTATGGTAGTTTTGTATTGTTATTTTCTTTGAAGAAGAGCATGAATGTTTGGATCCACACTTTTCCTTTATATGAAGTTTAGCTGCATTTGGAGTTCTTAGAGCAGGTAATTCAGCTGAGCTTTTTTTAATCGCGTCTGCAAAAGTCACAAATGTCGAAGTGTGGGAATTTAGCACACACACAGAACTCCCAAGAAGAAGAAAATATCAGTAAGTTTGCAGCAAAATCTCAGAATGTGTAGGTAACATTTGCATAAGCAAGAAATTGGACAAGAGGAACAGATTGCTAGAGCAGTGTATTAGGTGCTTAGGCCCATGCATCTGTGCAGTAGGTGACTTGAACGCTTTGTGTTGGGTTAGATTTACTCTGATCCCTGCCTGGACGCTGTATAAGGTTCTTTTTACTTTTATGTAGGTTTAAACATTGGAGATTGCTTGGTAGGCACCTGAGAGTACTTCCCACTTCAGCTTCCTGCTGAAAGCACTTACTATATACCAAAAACTACTCAGTGAAACAAACCATTATGTAGCAACTGAGTACTGTCAGATTTGCTTCAAAACTTCACTGCAGCTCCAAGTGGAACCTACAGTGTAGCCACAGAAGCCTAATCCAGAATTTAGCTGTAGTGGCATACCAGCCTGAAACTGTTGCTGCACAGGCGTCCTTCTACAAGTGGGTAGTTAGTTCTAAAATGATATAAAATGGATATGATGTCTACTTTACTATCATTGAAGGGTGTCATAATTTTCTGTAATGGTTTGAAAACAAACCAGTGAGAGACTCCAAGTCAGAAATACAATTTAATAAGAAAAAAAAAAAATAAAAGCAATAATACAAAGGAAAACCACAGACAGAGTCAGAATACAACCTGATACTCTGTAGTTAGGGTGGTGGTAGCAGTCCAGATGAAACAGTGGTCTCATAGAAAAGGTCTGGTAGCTCTTGTCCTCTGGAAATCCAGTGGGTAAGACCCCCTGTGCTGTACTGAACCCCAGTTTATATCCAGGTGGGAGCACTTGGCTCCTCCCCCTGGGTGGAGCATCTCACAATGGGTTGATATCAGTCCGTGAGTCATGCAGTGAGTCCTTGATGGTCCATTAAACAGAAATAGCTCCTGGGGGGAGTTCTGTATGAGTCATGGGGCGAGGCAAGGATGGGCCCATTAACAGGGAGGAGGACTCCTGCTGGGTGGGAAAGGTGTTAACATCTCCCCTGACCTTGAACTTCTTTCCTTATCTGTTATAGCCTGGGGTGTGAGGTCTGTCCTGGGCAGCTGCTACCCATGATTTTCTTAACAGCCCATGAGCACTGACATAGAGAGTATAGAATACACAGTTTTGGTTCTACCCACATAAGGATACACTGGTCCCAGCCCCTGTAACCATGACATTTTCCATCTGGGTATTTCTTAAATGTTGACCTTTTGGGTTGCAGTCTTTGGTTAACTAGGTACTGAATGAGCAGAATGGTGAAGCCACAGCACAGGAATGTCAAACAAAATACACCCTGCAAATTCAGCCTAGGTCTTACTGTCCTGTAATGCATGAAGTTTCATACGAACTTCCAACACTAGAAACAATGCACTGTCATATGAATATTTAATTAAGTCCAGGTAATCAAAATGTTATCTGCAGACTAAATACTAGGAATTTTGTGGTTTACTATTTTTTTTAAATATATGCCAAATTCTGCTCTCAAACACACAGTTGCAACTTGTAGGAAAGCCATCTGGAGCTGTACATATGTACAAACAATGTGTGCTTGAATACTGTAGTAATTTCAGGCTACAGTGTTCAAAACACTGTGTTCTTTTCCATACTTTTTATTTAGATCATTTGCTGCAGTGACAAACTTTTCAAAGTATGGGTTTTGTTTGCTTCTTTTTTTTCTTACCTTTATGACTATAATTTGGAAAATAAGTTGTTTCAAATTTTTCCAGAATTTGTTACTTAGTATTTTACTATATTTTGAATTCTTACAACGGGAACTCCCTTTAAGGGAACTTTTAAAATGTGCTGCAGAGGCAAAGTCAGAGTTTCAATGATGACACCACTATGAAATTGGGTAAATTCAACTATATATGCCAAGGGATGTCAAAAACAACAAGAATGGGTTCTACACATACTTAGGAAACAAAAGGAATGCCAGGGAAAATGGAATCTCATTGCTGAATGTGATGGGGAGCTTGGTTACACAGGACATGTCAATGACTCAAGTGCTGAATGCAGCATGTCAGGAGTCCCAGAGACCACAGGGAAGATCTGGAGCAAGAACAAGGTACTCTTTTTGAAGAGGATCATGTCAGGGAATACATAAGCAAACTGGACATGAATAAGTCCATGGGCCTTGGTGGAGCCCATGAGAGCTGGGGGAGCTAGCAAATGTCATTGCAAGACCACTCTTGCTAATCTTTGATCAGTTATGGTGATGAGGAGAAGTACTCGAAGACTGTAGGAAAGCAAATGTCACTGCTATCTTGAAGAAGGGCAGAAGGAAGAACCTGGGGAGTTTCAGGCTGCTCAGAGTCACATTGATCCCTGGAAAGGTGATAGAACAGCTCATCCTGAAAAACATTTCCAGGCACAGTAAGGATGAGCAAATTGTCAGGAGCAGTCAGCATGGCTTCACAAAGGGGAAGTTATGCTTGACCAACCTGACAAATTTCTACGATGAAATGACTGGCCTGGCAAATGAGAGGAGAGCCGTGGCTGCTGTCTACCTGGACTACAGTTGGGCCTTGGACTCTCTCTCCCATAAGATCCTCAGAGACAAGCTGTTGATCTGTGGGCCAGATGAGCAGACAGTGAGGTGGGTTGAGTGTCTGAACAGCTGAGCCCAGAGGGTAATGATCAGTGGCACAAAGTCTAGTTGGATGCCAATGACTAGCAGTGTGCACCAGAGGTCAATGTGGGCTCCAGTCTTGTTTAATGTCTTTGTTAATGACCAGATTGATGGGACAGTTCACTAATAAAGAGAAGAAAATGCTCAAGAGGATCTTAATAATGTGTATGAATACCTGAAGAGAGAGTGTGAAGGCAGAGCCAGACTTTTTTCTGTGGTGCCCAGTGGCAGAACCAGAGGCAGTGGACACAAACTGAAACACAGGAGGCTCTGTCTGAGCACAGGGAAATACTTCTTCACGCTGAGGATGGCTGAGCACTGGCATTGGTTGCCCAGACTGGTCGTAGAGTCTCCCTCTTTAG